GCTGTGAATTCGTTTGAATGGAGAAAAATGCAGTATTTAACGTTGTGAATTTTCAATTCTAGGGTGCCTTAACGTTTCTGCATATTGTGTTAAAGCGCTTCAATAAAATTAATTGAGAAAACTTATTTTGCTACTTTATTATCCTGTATACTAATTAAATTATACTGTTTAAATAATTCAATATAGGAGCGGTGTAAAGCAAAAACTTGCCTAGGAACTTAGAAATTTTGACTAGTAAATATCCATTGCTTTTAGGAAAAATAAGTAATTATTTAATATGTTTATTGATTTTGAAGATTGAAGAAAAGGAATTTTTTTTCCTTTCCCAATAATAAAAAGAAAAATCAAAATTGGATCCCTTTCAAAGTTTTTTTTATGGACACACGACACACCCAACCTGAAAAATGCCGGAAGTCATGGGCAATGTAGAGTATAAAAGATTTATTTTTCATGTGTTCGATAAACTTATTTTGCTCTCTTTGTCACTCTCTGATAAAATCAAATCAATTACTTCCTATTTGTAGCATGCATATTGTCCTTTTACAAATGCTAGTACATGTATATAGGATTTTTCGAAAATAATGTTTTCCTATATGACACGTGTTCATCAGTTGTATTACTGTAATTTATTCGTTATATCAAAGGTCCCATAATGAGTAATAATGAGTCAATATAGACCTGCTAAGTTAGCAACGTGTGAAAATGACTAACAATGAAGCACCGAAAAAAAAGTATATAATAATTAACTTTGGAACTTATGAAGGTCATAGATATTTTTTGTTAACAGACTTTAATGGGTGATCAGCATACCGTGCAACAATTTTTATCCGGCAAGATGTGTCCCCGACGTCTCACGCCAATTGATGGTAATTTACAAGGCACCACCTCCCATACCATTTGATGTTTGATGGTAAGTAACAAGGTACCACCTCCCATATCATTTGATGGTTAGTTACAAGGTACCACCTCACACGCTATTTGATGGTAGGTTACAAGATACGTCCGTCTAGAAATTCCATGTCTGGGTGTTTTAAGATATTTACAACTTTATAAAATAATAAAAATAAACGTAAATAAAGCATACCTCAGAGAAGCAGGACCATACCATATATTCTAAATAAGGGTTGGGTCGAAATACCCTCAGTGGTCTGCCATGTGTATTAGACAAATAAAATATCTTTAGAAATTTTGAAAACGTCCTTCTACCAGGACTAACGTGTCCAAACTGAAGCACGGGCTTACCAATACTTTAAAGGTCCAGTGTTTTGAGGTATAAAACGGGATTAAATGAACCCAGTGAAAAATGGAAACTCCCCACAGGTGAATACAAATTACTTGCGTGTTCGACTAGAAGATTTTAATGTGACAGTAAGTTACATGTACCACTTCCCACACCATTTGATGGTAAGTTGCATGTTTCAAACCTCCCACACCATTTGATGGTAAGTTAGATGGTACCACCTCCCACACCATTTGATGGTAGGTTACAAAGTACACCCTCCCACACACAATAGGTATTTTTTTGGCTGAATGCAAACCTTATTCCGTTCTCATCACGTTAAAAATGTGATTACATTGGTTGTGAGTAGGTTTAAATTATTATGGTTGTGACAGTGATGCATTAAGTATTTGTTTATACTCTTGTTGATATTGTTTTTATTTGAAATATATTATATTTATTTCTATTTTAAAGATTTTTCATGCATACATGTCAAAATATTGTATATTGTTAGTTTGATTATTAATAAATCTTTAATGTTTTTGGTGTAAGTTTAATCTCTTAAAACTTGACTCTAAAATGTGAAATATTCACAAAATTTGTGTATTGAATCACTTCATAACATGTCATATCATACAATGTAGATTACTACAGAGACAAACACAGATGTGTCTTTGACCTTCTGACCTGGTATCATATTACAACATTTGTCTCTTCGAAATTCAGTGATACCTTTCAACACATATTCGTCTTTGAAATGCATATGATGACCAAATAATTCCTATATTTGCCAACTTGCATCTCTAGCCTTTATGAATTGAAACTTTAAACGTAACGTATAAGCGAAAATTTTAGCGAGAAAAAATTTAGCGATTTGTCTTTAAAAATTCGAATTTTATTTTGAATAAGTTGTAATTTTACCGATTTTAAAATGCTTTCTGAAGAAGTTATTTGAGATAAAATGCAATTGAATTTTAACGATATATGTCTGTAACTTTTAACATTCTTTTAACTTCTTGTCCATGACCACTGGGCCAATATAAACCACACCTGCCAAAAAGCATCATTAGATGAAGGTGATTCAAATTTGTTCAAATGAAGGGCAATGTCCTCAATCTAGGAAAGATAATTAAGACATAATAAAAATTTGGTCGCATGTTTGGAAAATCTTCTCAAGAACCACTGGGTTGGAGAAAATGAAACTAATGTGGAGGCATCCTCAGGTAGTGTAGATTCAAGTTTGTTCAAATCATGACCCCCAGGGGTAGGGTGGGGCCACAATGGACGATCAGAGTTTTACATAGGAATTTCTAGGAAAAAAATCGTAAAAAATCTTCTTCTCAAGAACAAAAAAGCCATGATTGGTCATATTGATATGGAATATGGTATTCAACTTTGTTCAAATTATAACCCCCGGAGTAGGGTGAGGTCAAAATGAAAGTTCAGACTTATAGGAAAATAAGTCACAGTAAGTCAAAGAAATATTACATAATCTAATCTAATTTCATTCTTAAGTAGTGTAGATTCAAGGTATTTCAAATCATAACCATTTTTTAGGTTTAGGTTGGGACCACTTATACATTAAAGCTTTTCACTACTAAATTGATTTATGCTTTTATTTCTAGCCACAGTGCTCATGTGAGCTATGTGGCCCATGGGCGTCTTGTTTTAGTACTCTACATAAATATTCAAGATCATTGGTAAGGATATATCCTAGGCTAGAATACAATGATCTTGATCTTTTGATTAATGAGTAGGTGTTGGTCTATCTTCTGGTCATCCACAACCTCTGTAAGCAAAACTTAGTTTCAAATTTATATTTACGGTACATACCAAGTCCAAATTACTGATAAGCAATCACTGTGCTTCATTTTGACCTTCCAATATCTTGTTTTTGATGTCACTTAATTACTATTACATAATCAATTACAATAAACCTTTTACACAAATGTATATAGAATTTAAAAACAAAATTGAAAATACCTTATACATTTATATAACTTAGTGACAGTGAATACACTTTTCCTTTAAAACTTAAAATGAAATATACATATATTGCTCTTATGTAGGCAACTTAAATACACATTAACACATTGATGTGAACATAAAAGAAAACCAAGTGGAATAATATATGTTCATTAAACTTATTTTTATTCAGAGTGTAAAATTCACAGAAAAAAAATCAATTACCTCTACAAAACTAGTACTATGTACAATATATTTAATAAGTTAAAGAAATAATTATACCATTTAATCGATTAATTTCAAAGTTGTGTTTTAAAGTAATCATGCAATTTGATTGTGTAAATCAAAACAATTTTTTTTCTTTCAAGTTATCTTAAATTTTCATTTTATATATGATAAACAAAACTCAAGATGTATGATTTAGATTGAAATATGTAATCATAAATATACATGTAACTAACTGAATAATTTCTTTCATTGGAGATACTTGTACACTGTCAGTGTGTTGGTTTCACATTCTCCTACATAGAGATTGTTCTCATCATCCACACACACACTACGGGGATACAGTACCCCTTGTTGTAGTGTGAGTAATAGAGACAAGAACTGACCATCCTGATCAAGGAGGTGAACAAACTTACTGTACCTATCACACACCAGGATGTGACCGATGACATCAGTACAGATTCCGTAGGGATAGAACCTTGACTTTTGACCTGTGTAGGAGAACCTGTGTTGTCTTGATTTATTCACAACAACTACTTTTTTTCCCTGTCTGACGTACAGACATCGCCATTGATGTTTTCTGGTATTGTGGTTCACTATACAGTTCCTGTCCTTTGTAATCCCTCTGTATGTTCTGTAGTTCTTTTCCTGTCTCGTTGTACCTGGTCACTTTAGTCTTTAAGATAAACTGCATCTCACTCATTATCATCCCCACCTGTAAGTCCCCGTTGATGTGGGAGGAGTATATTGTATGTGGTCTCCAGTTTTAATGAATTCAGGGATATTATTATCCTCTGTAATCCTATTGATGACTTTCTCGTTTTTGTCAGTAAAGATCAGATGCCTAGCCTGTGTGACTGTGTGGAAACCTTCTATTTCACCACTAGTTTTTATCTTCTGTATCACATTCCCGTGTAGATCTGTTTGGGCAAGATTACCCTCTTTGTCACTGATCCAGAGTCTATCTGATTGATCTGGTGAAACATGGAATACATCATCAACATCTGGTACATCGAACTCCCTGATCTGGTGACAGACGCAGATAGAGACATTATTTGTTTCTTGTCAGATTTCTTTCTGTCTTCTTTCATCTCTGTTTCTGTGTATATTTAATTGCTGTATTGTAGACACTTTCATATGGAACGCCAAATTAACATATATTCAAATATTTGTACCTATCTTCAAATAATTCTACCTATCTTTAATTAATTGCACCTATCTTCAAATCATTTGAAGATAGGTACAATTGAATTAAAGATAGGTACAATTGAATTGAAGATAGGTACAATTGTAAATAATTATACCTATCTCTAAATAATTGTACCTATCTTCAATTCAATTAAAGATAGGTACAATTGAATTATACCTATCTTCAATTCAATTAAAGATAGGTTCAATTGAATTATACCTATCTCTAATTCATTTGAAGATAGGTACAATTCATTTAAAGATAGGTACAATTGATTTGAAGATAGGTTCAATTCAGACATATCTACAAAGGATTTGAAGATAGGTACAATTCAATTATACCTAGGTTCAATTCGTTTTGTGTTGTTGAAAATAATGAACGCTCCCTTGAAGACATTTCAACATGGAGGGAAACGAGGGAAGCACCAACAACGAAGATGAAAGAAGAAATAAAGGTAAATTAACAATATATATATATATATATAATTATATATTATTTGTGTGTGTGTGTGTGCAATATATTTGCAAAAGGCATCGTTTAAGTATTAAAATATACATGTATATATCAATAAGTAAGCCAAGAACATGTATACCCGAATACCCCAAAAGTGACGGAGTTATGGTAGTGTCGTACATGTAGTTAGGGTCACTATATACATAGATATAAAAAAAACGGGCTTTATTTTTTTCAATAATTGATAATCACTCTATTTATTAAAGAAGTAACAATTATTATGATTTTGGTTTATTTTAAGGCTCAATCTTTCGAAAAGTTAACAAAATCATATTGCCCATTTTATCATCCCGATCCCGATTTTATTTCTACGTCACCTTTCTTCATTTAAAAAAAATTTTTTTTTAGTTATAAATATTAAAAGGTGTTAAGCAGAAAATGTCACCTCTGATTTTTCTTTTATAGATCTTTAGGTCATCCCTTTTACACTAGGGTTTCAGCATTGAAAAACCAGTATAAGTTCTTAATTATTTAATAAGATTTTTAAATGCATATTTTCAGAGAAAGTAATTTTTTTTGCAAATTTGGCATTTTATGGTTTAACATTTGCCGTTAATAAATTCTTAATTTAAATATTCTTTTAAATATTTAAGAAGGCAGATTTTTAGCTTTAAATTATCTTATTTACAAATGAAACATTTTTTTTTTTCATTTTTTATGAAAAGAAATCATATAAATAATTAAGACTTGATATTGTCCTTTAAGTGCTGAAACCATAACTTTATAAGAATATTTTAAAGATCTTTGAAATAAAAATCTGGATGTGGCATTCCTCCTTAATAGTAATACTAGAGCCCATATTTGGATACTAGATGTAGTAGATACTATATATCTTTTACAACTGTATCTAAAACCTACTCTTAAAATAACCATGGTATAAGCTGGCTAATTTTCACATGAAAATTTAATTATCATTTGATTTTTTTTTTCTTTACTTAAAATTGTTTTTGCACAATAACTATTAAGAGCATTGATGAAAAGTTCATCTTCATCTTTTCTTGTTATCTAAATGTATCAGTTCCAACTGGACATGACAAAGATTTACTTGCATATATAGCTATACACTTCGAACTACTAACATTTTTATATTATAATTTATTATCTAGTTGGAAGGCCTGCATTGGATATTACACGAGAAAATCTTGTCGTCTTGCAGAAGAAAGGCTTCACAGCAAAAGAAATGGCTCAAAGTTTTGGATGTTCTCAGTCCTTAATTTACACCAAGCTACAAACTTTAGGATTGCAACAGAGAAAAAAATATTCAAGTATATCACATGATGAATTGTTGGAAGTTGTTTCCAGAATACATAAAGACTTTCCAGCTGCTGGTGAAAAGGTAAGAAAAAATATACAGAATATGCATGACAAATTTAAAAAATGTAACTATTTATTAATAAATGTGATATATCTGCACTGTACGTGTATTATAGCAACAGTTCACTTGGTCTAGAGAGTTGCATCATGTCATGTTTACAGGTGTGGATCGGTAGATCAAATGAGACAGGAGGCATCTAAGTTTGTTCTGATGATGCATGCCTGTTAGTGAAACATGATACAGCTATTAGATCACTTACTATTTTAATGAAAAAATTATTATATATACCAACTTTTAACAAGCAAAATATTGTTTAAAAAACTTTTAAGGTCAATTTATTATGAAATATATTTTCCATAAAAAACATATTATTTTGATGCATAAGAATAAAGGTAATTTTTCTGTGTATAAGAAAGTAGTGATTTAAATTCAAAATTCAGATTACACCGTCATGATTTTACAAAATATACACTAAAATTGAGCAATAAACACTTGGTAATAATAAAAATATTTATACTCTGCTTAGCAATTGAAAGGCAGAAGTCTGTTAGCTCACGTGAGCTAGAGGCTCAATTCTTTTTTTTTATCTGGTTTCTCCCTTTGTTTTTCACATTTTTTACTTATTATCTGCTCAAGATCCACTGGGCCAATATCAACCAAATTTTTCACCAATTCATAATTATCTCCCTTTGGATCCCCTTCAACCACGGAAACTTTGTGGCAAGTTTGGTAGAAATTGGCCCTCGTTTCTCGAGAATAAGGTGAAAATGTGAGAAGTTTACAATAACAACCACAAATTTTGATAAGAAACCCTCTTGAGCCTTCTGCTCAGCTCAAGTAAGCTAAAAAGGAAGAAAGGGGGGGGGGGGAGCAAACCCACTAGTCACACTTGATAGCTCTATACATGTTTCTACTATTGTATAAGTAATGGTGTTTTAGAAATAATACTCTTTTTTCATTTAGATGATGCATGGATACCTTCTTGCTGAAGGAATTTATGTACAGAGGAAAAGAGTTCGCGAGACCCTTTCATCTTTAGCAGATAGAATGGAAAAGAAGAAACCCATCTCCAGAAGGGTATACAAAGTACCAACTCCCAATAGTTTATGGCACATGGATGGTCATATGAAATTGGCCAGGTAGATACACATATTGTGCAAACATTTTACTCCCATGTCAAATCTCTTAAAATAGGTCGATCTTTCCAGTAAATTTAAATCAGAAATTGACCAAAAGGTGAGATTAATAATACTGAAAAAGTTTGTCAGAAAAATAAAAATCAAAGTACAAATAGTACATTTGTAACATATTTTTTGCTTTTACTCTCAGAGTATATTTTGTACATGTACTTGAGCCCTTACCCCATCCTTCTCCTCTGCAAAAAGATTGTTTGTAGCTCTATATTCTGCATCATCAGAAGCCTATGGTTGGTGATTTCCTGATGCTAGCTATTATTAATTTCTGCTGATCTATTTAAATTATTATACATCATGTATACATTTCTTTTATTAATTTCAGGTGGGGAATTACTACACATGGATGTGTAGATGGGTTTTCAAGGTGCATAGTTTATCTTCATGCTTCATTAAACAACAGAGCACCTACAGGGAGATCTGTGCACAACCAGAGGATCGAAAGATTGTGGAGGGATGTGCACACACAAGTTACAAGCTTCTTCTATAGCACATTCTATGCTCTTGAAGACAGTGGGAAATTGGATATAAACAATCAAAATGACATGTTAGCTCTGCACTTTGTATATCTGCCGGAAATTAATCGTCGACTTTCCCTTTTTCACAGCTCCTGGAACCAACATTCCATAAGAACAGAGGGAAACCAGACCCCAGAACAGCTGTTTATTACTGGAACTCTTACAAATAGCAGCAAAAACAGCTCTGCAATACAAGGTATATTATCTCAAGAATTCTCCCTTAAAGAACAGTTAAAAAAAGGACTAAACGAGTATGGGCTGTCCCTGGATGACTTTCCTAATACAGACATTCCAGATGAAGATGATGCTATGGAACAATTACAGTTACCTGACAATGTTATTCGAGAGGACATGGTGTTGGATGAAAAATTTGAGGCAGTCAAAATGTTCCTTTATACCTCAGCATGATTTCTTCAACCAAGATTCCACACTTTACATTTTTTTAAGCTTTCATGTAAAGGGTACTTAACACAAACAAAAAGTTTGATGCATGGATTAATTTATTTATATTTTTTGATTGTTGATTTGAAATGACATGAATACTAAATTCTTGAAATATAAAATGAAATTGTAGGTTTTTCTTGATCCTTACAGATAATACTTTGTTTTGCTTTCCAATTTTAAAGTCCATATAAAATTTTGCACATTTTTTTTCCTTATGACAAAATCTGATAAAATTCTCCAACTATACTCAGTGAACATCATTCAGGTTTAATATCAATTTAAATATAACTCTATCGAGAAATATTGCTGACTCGTTTGTTTGTGTTATTTATCCTTAAGAAAATAAGATTTTAAATAAGTATGTAGTTAATTTTATTTCCCCAAATGGTTGTAAATACTGGCTGTATTGTTATAAAATAAAACACACTTATAATGTGCCAGGGACAGATAATTTTGCTTTATTATAATCACCATAATTCATTATATCTATTACAATTGTATGTTCACAATATATTTTCAAGCATTATTATATCAATATTGAATCTTGAAAGAAGATTTTACATAAATTCATCTCATCTGACCCTTCATTTCTGTGAAGGGGACATTCTTTAAAAATGTCACGTTTTTTCTCATTCTTAATCATATCTCATCCTTAGTGAAGAGCCATGCATTTTTTTAAGGAGCATTGTGGTGAGTTGAATTAATCCATGTTTCTCATATATTTTAAAAAAGCTATTGGAGAATGAAACTGTGAAGAAAATCAATGGTCTATTCAGTGATACTAATTTTAAAACCAGTTTAAACAAAACATGAATTTTAGTAGAGAAAGCTGCATTTCATTACATTCATGTAAAAAAAAACCTGCGTTGAAATCAATACAACAGGATTCATGAACAAAAAATCATTCACACTGGTCTGTCGGTGAGTGATGTGGCCCATGGGCTTCTGGTATATTATATAATACCAAACCCAGGTCCTGAAATGATAGCTTCAGTCATTGTTTCTTTGAATTTTGAATATGAGGTCAAAGACAATGGTAATGTTAAAGTAAATGTACATGTTGATACATAAGGAAAACAGTGATCCTCTGTGAAATTTACAGTAAAAGTGTCATCAAATCCACCAGGTGGAATAGAAGAGCATCCTGTGATGAATTTTAAGATGTCCTCTAATTGAACAATCCTCGTGTTGCATGTACATTTGCCCTCTGAAATAAGAAAGTAGAAGAGAAACCCTTGGTAAGAATACTAAACAATTGCTCTGCCGGCAACTAGGGCTGTCACAGGTACCCAAAATGACCTGGAATCGCAGAACAATTAATTTGGGTCGGGTTCAGTTCAGATATTATGGAATTCGGTTCGGTTCCAATTTGTACAATAGAGTAGGTTTTACCATAATAATGGTGTCTAAAATGAGAGATTTGTTAGTACATTGCCATTATGATGTGATCTAACTAAGTTGGTACAATTGTTTTCTAGTCAGGAAACTACTTTAAACTAGTTATTATGTTGCTATTTCTTTGATTAAGTGAAAATAATTTTTTTTTTGTTGAAAATAATTAAAATCATAAGCTTTTATTCCATTGTATACCCAAACTGAAAAACTCGAAACCAAACATAAAAAAAAACTGGAACCCAGCTGACCCAAAAAAATTTGGAACCGTGACAGCCCTACAGGCAACACAAATTTTAGGTTCCTTTATTCCTAAAAGAAATGACAAATATACTCATGTATAACATTCTTTATAATGTTTTGATGTTATGCATACATCTTACCCTCAGAGTCATAAATGTAGGACTCCAAGTTTTGCTGAATTTCCTCGGCATTATGGCGGCTGTTGCTTCTATCCTCGCCATACTTGTTAAACTTCAAAAGTGTCATGAAGTGGTCCCCTGTCAGACTGCTTGAATTGTTGCACTTCTGGCAAAGGACAGCTTCAATTTCTGAATGAAATGTTTTTGAAAATGCAAATATTTTTCACTAGTCAAGTATATGTGTATGTATTGTATGGTATCCATTTACAACAGTTTCAGCAATGTCAATATGAAAATGAAATTTACTTAATTCTGCATATGGCAGACCAGCCAACATGCTCTCAGCCCTGCATTATATCATGGTCTCATTTTAGAATAATTTTTTTATAATACTAAGAGTGCAATGATAAACCATTTGACGGTGTACTGCGTTTTATTTTCCACATTTCAATTCACAATACATGCAACTGATATCAAGACAAAAAAATAATACTCAGAGGTCAAACAAGGTTAAAACAATAATAACAATAGAACTGAAAAACTGTTATAAACACATTTAAAATATATCAAATTACAGTTTTTCTTCAGACCTTTTAAGTTTGTTTATTCTTAGATAATAGTAAACTACTAGTATTTGACTATGTACTTTACCTGGGTACCTCTTCAACAATGTGCGTAGTCCAAGTTTTTCTGCTCCTTCCCAGAATGAGTCTAATACAGCTTTCTTGTTAAGTAAGTTGGAGCATTTTAAGCTCAAAGCTTTAACAATTGTTGAACGGGTGTTTGCTGTCAGCAACACATTTATTCCATTTTCTATTAAAAATTCTGCAATTTCCTCTTGGTTGTCAACTGTTCCATTTTCCACCTGAATAAATGTAATTAAGTTTTCTTTCTATTATAAATTTCATTATTTTTTTAAATGAAAAACATAAGATATTCAGAGATTACAGAGCTCATCACAATGAATGTTTGTCTTTGAGTAAGGCAAAAACATTAAACTAATAATGTAGAAGATCACTCATTTGGAAAATCTAGATGCAAGCCTGATACTGTGCCTCCTTAAAATGCAATCAAATCATATTATCCTATACCCTAACAGCCAAAGGCATGATACTTATTCAGGTGGCTATGCATGTTCATGTCAGGAGTGATCTCGTATCCTAAATAAATTCACATCGTTGCATGTGCCATACAAACTTCTTGAGAAGTCGAAAATGTCAAAAGTTACAGACAGACAGACGAACAAACAAATGCTGAACAAAGCTAAAAACTGTGAATAAGATATACAGACCTTGGTGATCATGTCTCTGTATCTTGTATCGCAAACTGTTTCAAGTGTTGCTGCTTCAATACCAAGATTACCATATTTAAGGAAGTGGTGGTTAAACACAGGCAATACTGGTCCACCTTGTAGAAGCATACTGGCAAGCATAGCTCCCATTGCATGGTAATCCCCATTAACTAGTCCCACTGCATTATCCATGACGTCATATCCATCTTCATTCTCTGTAAATGCAATGAATCAAATTAAAATTTAAAAAAACCCACTCATTTAAGAAAACTGAGGTTAATGTCAAAGGTAAAAAAAATCGATACATAGAGAATATTACATACTAAAATCCATATCATATGTCATATCAGCCCGAGTGGCCCCATATCAGCCCGAGGGCCGAAGGCCCGAGGGCTGATATGGGGCCCGAGGGCTGATGTGACATATGATATGGATTTTAGTATGTAGTATTCTATTTATCATATATTTAAAATACTTAATATGCGAGTCCACATTTGGTCGTTGAAAAATGTTTGTGCTTGTTTGTGACATTTTTCTTTAAAAATTTAATAGAGCCAATTTTAGGTAACTGGAAAAAAATTAAGACCACAAATGTCATTAAAGAATTATTTTATATGAATATGTAAATAAAATCAAGTAAATTGACTTTAAAACTTAATACAAATGTTACTTCCGGTTTGATATGGATTTTCGGCACGCCGGTCCGATACGTGATATGGCTTTTCGGACCGGTCCGTGATATGGGGTATTGTGACGTCACCCGTATCACACCGTGCAGAATCGGTGTATTTACTATTAAGTATATGATAAGGTTCAATACATCTAGCATACATATGAAGTTTGATAAAAATATTGTGAATAGTTTCTTTGAAACTAAGCTTTGAACTGAGCTAAATGCAAGAAACAATGGAAGGACTGAAGAATGTACATGACAAACACTTTATGCACTAGCCATATTCATGGTCGGGCATAAAAATAATTCATAACATTAAATTCATTTCTTAAGTAGTTGCCCGTGTGGTGCAGTGGTTAGAGCGTCTGCTCTGGAGTTGCGAAGTAAAAATCCCACTGTGGGACGTGGAGACCAGTGCTGCGGATGAGACCATATAAACCGAGCTCCCGTGTCTCAGTAGGTGTTGGCATGAAAAAGATCCCTCCCTGCTCAATGGCCCTGAGTGCCGAGCAAAGGACAAAATTTGCAGCCATCCACCGGCAATTGGTGGCATCTCCATATGAGTGAAAAATTCTCGAGAGGGAGGTTACACAATATACAATCAATCAACATTCTTAATTACAGCATTATCTTTTTATTTGGTTAAGGGATATATTTCATTGATAATCATCTGAGCAATGGCATGCCACTGCATTGGAAGATAATAAACAAGAGAAAAATCTTTGTCCATGATTTTAACGGACAACCCATGTACATATGCCAGACAAACTGATCAATAGAGCTGAGATGAACTTATTATATGGTAATTCAAATTGTGAAATCATTTCAAATAAATACCTCATACACTAAACCAAAATAATCAAACTCACTTTCAAAATAGCCAGAGTTCAACATTTGCTTAAAAAGAATTTCAAAATAATCTCTTCTTAGTCCTCCTTCATCCTCTCCAGGTTCATGAATAAACTGCACCTGAAGTAATTATTAAATCAATTATATATATATATATATATATATATATATATATATATATATATATATATATATATATATATATATATATATATATATATATATATATATATATATATATATATAATATATATAATTTATAATATGTATATATAATTATATATAATTACATAACTTGATATACTGTATTTGAGGGCTGTTCAATAAATAACTCATTTTTGGGTATGACCCATAGTATACTGGAAAAATTGCAGATCCAATGATTTCCTGGACTGTCTTTCTTCTGTAAAGTGTTTTTTTAAGTTTGGAAACAGAAACAAGTAAAAAGGTCAAAGATCTGGCAAATATTGTTAATG